TCAGACGTATTTCGATGGATAATTTTGAGACATTTAAATTTTGAATATGGATAAATATAACAAAAAAGAAATATCAAAATATACCATATTGAAAAAAATAAACAACAATCACTAGGAGTAACATATATAAACTGAAAATAAAATAACCAAAATCGAATATACAATTTTCCATGTAAATTTCGAAAAGAAAAAATGTCATGGAAGTTGACTTTTTTCTCTCTCTCTTCAATTATCAGATAATACGAGTGAAATTAATTCACTAGTTGTTGAATGATTATTTTCTTTTCAAATTCGTTTTATAATCATAACCATTTAATAATGAATTTTCAATGAATGTTAAATGTTACAAGGTAAATAATAAAACAACTTCCTGTCTTTATAGATATAGATATAAAGATAAACCAACTTTTCTAATTTTACATGATCTCTTGAATAAATCTAGATAGGATGTTTTTATATTGCAGAACCTTTTTTAACTTATTCACCATTCTATTCAAATGTTTATATCATTTCGTTGTTGTTGTTGTTGACTTTATTCAAATATCAATGTAAAATAACTATTAGGATGAATTTAGCGAAAATATTACCTTATGTGGATTGGTATTAGATCGGAAAATTCGGTTCAAAAAACTCCGATGTGATTACATTGTAGTGACATACTTTTATCAAAAGAACGCGATTGGTTTAATAGAAACAATTATTATTATAACCAATTGTGCCAGTGATTGTTTTACTGTACTTGTTTGTTTAACTGTACTAAAGACATCCTTCCTTCCTTTGATTGTGACCTTGAACGCACTTACGTTTGCTTAGTGATTCCGCTTGTACTCCTTTGGCACGAACTCGGTATTCTTTCGATACCACGAGATCGCCAACAAATATATCTCGCTAAAACCTCTAATCGCCTTCTGATATCTGGTTCACAACCTTCTTGTAATGGTGATCATAGTCAACGCGACTAGACGCTACACTACAACATAATTGAAAACTTATTTTTACATTGATAAGTAAACTAATATTTCATACTATATGACTTATGGATAATTGATGGATAATAATGATTTGTTCAATTATTAGTTAACTTAAATATTTAGAATGATTTTTCAGTTAATGAAGGAATGTAAATTCTAAGGTAATTTATAATTTATGAACTGATAAAAATCAGGGAACAAAAGTAGAAGATACTGGTTAGTTGTTTTATCAGAGCCTAAAACTTCTTGGCAATGTACAGTCACTATCTATATGAGCTGGAGCCTAGGATGTTCAGAAAGTGTTATAGGCATTATATCAGTATTTAACTTGAGACTCAGTGGTTAATAGTTTCAAATTACACTCAACTTGTAATTTAGCACGATATTCAATCAATTTCATCATTGACTTAGTATTTCATTTCAGATTTTGTTAATTCCTCAATTCCTGAATTTCGACTTAAACTACGAAAGCCTGTCATATTTCTAATCATTAACAAAAGTAGGATCACTATCTATTTAGTAACTGAATGTAAACTGAATATCATTTAATAATTTTATAAACAACAAGTTAATTCGAAAAGCCCATTACGTAAACCTAGTTTCAGTTAGCACTTTCGATTTGTGCGATATTATAGTGTATTTTCTTCTGAGGAACTAGTGTTTCTCACACTTTATAAATAGACCACATAAAGTGTCGATAGAGCTGCGACATTATTACCTCTGATCCTGTATGACTGTATCAAGATCCACTCGTTCAATTCACATAATTTCAACAATGCTAAGAATTACTGAGTTGTAGTCAGCAGGAGAAAATGAACTCAAAATAATGGAGAATATCTATTACAGACTTCATAATGTTTCTGTTATTGTTAACAATACTTGTTATAAATAATGTGAACAGCATTATTAGCAGTCGACTGCAAGTTGATAGTGGTTCATAAATTATTTCATCCAGCTCAGTCGTTCGTTTTTTCTATGGACTAGTGTTAAACCTCAAATAGACTTCTGTAATCCATGAAATTAGTCGACTGCAGTAAATGTTAGGAACTTGTCAACAGAAATACTTACTACTCATTTGCTAGAAATCGATATGTGGCATTTTGATGTGGATTTGTTGAAGAAAGTTAAATGTAAATTTCATTGTCACTACATCTATGTCATGGGAAAATGACCCCGTGCAAACACTAGTGCTTGGAGTCAAGCACAGACGGATTTCTATAAAACACGATCAGTGCCTAAGGTTTTTTCCATCGTTGACTCACTTAGGATTGAATGACAATCATAATGTTGGTGAAATACGTAGCCTAGTTAGTTTTTGTTATCTTCTGCCGACCAAATACGTCAATGCAACGTAAGAGTAAAAAGTCTGATACGACTTGTAGTTAGGACGTGCATATTTCAGACATTCATATAGTCAGCCGAATCGAATATGGTTAGTAGTGTGAGCGATGACTCTCTGTTATAGGACCAACCATTCTTTAGAATTCCTGATGAAAGACTAAGTTACCAAAATCGTACTTACAGAATTGTTCGAACGTTTCATATTATTGTGTACAGTAGAGCGGAAGCCTACACTTAACGAGCTCCTGTATCTAGTACCAGTGGACCTCCGACATCTTCAAGTGGGAAATCAGGCATACGTAACGAGCGAAAGAACATTAGATTGATAGATTACAATGAAGTACTGTTGTGATGTCTTAGAAACAGACCACGTATTCTACTGAAGAACTCCTGGAAAGTCGCTTGAACCAACTCAGCCAGTAGCGAATTCCAGAAATCGACATTCGTAAAAAGTAAAAGATGAACCTACAATTCATTTTATTATGTCGTTCCTGGAACATCTGGGTCGTGTCACTGAGTTTTACATTGAGATTGAGCTTACGTAAGCAATGTAAACGATATCCAGGAGTGTAGAGATCCGTTGATTTTGGATGATCCTTATTGAGTTTGAATTTTGGCCCTCGGATTGACTTCTTGGTTCACCTTATGACAGTCCCTATCGTTTCGGAGTGAAAAATGGTACACTATATTTTCACATCGTATGGAGCCGAAGAAAACTGTTAAGTGGAAATTTCTACTGTCAAACTGGTTAGAGATGAGCTTGGGTGTTGTTAGTGCGGGATTTTCTTCGGAAGCACTTTGTAAAAGTTAGTGTAAGACTGTGGAACTTAAAGTGACATTATTCTTAGATCTTTTACAATTTAAGACACATTTTGAGGGGAATTACCTGCAGTTGTGTATAAATCCCCAAAATAAAAAGATCTGTAAGTTTTCGACATTGGATGCTGACCACATGTTTTAATGGATTCACCTAGCTAATGGTCGTGCATCCGCACCAGATCACGAGTGAGAACGCCGTGCTCAACAACCCCTGCAGTCGCTAGCCAGATTATATCAGACGATTCTCGATATATTGATAACATATCAAATATATCTTTGAACTTCCTCTCTTTTATTTCACTTGTTGTTGGGTCGGCTTCCGGAGAACTTCAACGGAGCCTCCAGAGGCCCAAAAGGAGCCGAAGAGTCCTAGCCAATCAGAGTGTGATGGAACGTTCTAGAATTCCAACGTGGCGTGCTACTATTGGTCGGTAGCATAATGTGTTGTTATCGGATTGGCTGTAAAATGATGTTGATTTAACAGACGCCAAAATCTATAAATACCCATGATTTTCTGTACAAAAATGAGCCTCGGAATAAAGTGCTTTCTCTCATTCTTGTGTCTTCTCTGTGGAGTTCAAGTCGCTGTGTAGTTCTAGACTGCGGGTTATCGGAATAGCTTAGGAATCGTATATAGCGTTCAACCTACACGACTTATCACTTGTTGGGTACGCTTCCTATTAAAAGGTGTTACTGGTTAAAGCGTTGTCAAACTCCGAATACCTGTGGCATCTTTAAACTAGATTATACATATAGTCTGCAACGTGTTTCAAACAGATTATTTTGAACTAACGAGATGAAGTCTGTCATTAGTTCCTTGAATACACAGTAGAATCAAATCCTCTTGAAGTGCTAACTCATCATTCTGATTGCGATTCCCTCCCCAAAGTGATAATTCAAGAAAACTTCATATAAATTAAAAGAACAATAGGGCATTTGTAATGAACCTTGGTGGACACCATCGAGTCGTTCTGTAGCGCAGAAAAAACTACACTTTACTCTAACCGCTAAAGAATTTGATGTGCCTGAACTGTTAATCTTATTTGGTTACGCTAACATTCCGTGTTCTGAAGTAAGCGTCTTCGTACTATGGTATTATTATTGATTTGTATGGTGTTTATGAATTTTACCGGTCGGTAGACTAAAGGTTTTAAAGCGTTCAGCTCCCTATGCGTAACTTTTGAGGGCTGTTTGTAGTACAATCATTTTTTATTTCGAAAGTTCAGCAAGACGTCACATTGACAAACCATATCAATTGATAGCAGGCTTCCTAGTCCATTTGCTAAATTTGTCCTTCAGAGCGGATACATCCAACTGTTTAAAATTACAATGGATATTTGAATCCAGTTTTTAGTGATAAAATGGGAGCGCATAACGGCGTGGACATTTTTTCTCAGGTTAGCTAGGATTGAGAGGTGATCAATTAGGGATTCTCTGCTTGTAAAAGTCAAGTCTAAGAGTGATGACGCCTTACTGCTTGTTCGTTGAGTTGGAGAAAACACACTTTCAAATAATTAAAACGTTCGATAAGGCTGATGAAATGAGTTTCAGTAAAGTCATCACTATCGTTGTACATGTGTCCAGCAAATTCGATTTCAGGAATAACGAAGTCTCTGATTTCACAGAAGCACATAAGGTTGTGATTAATAGTTTCAGAGATTCATCGGAAGTGCATAAGAACAGAATATTATCAGTATATTTAATGATATGACAATGATTCAGAACGTACGAAGGAATAAGTGTTGACAAACTCACTATCATAATTATTCACAACAACGTGTCACCTTACATACAATTAACATAATGAATAAGTCAATAAAGTGATGGCGTAAACACTCAAATATTTTGCTTTGTTTGTTTGAGCTAATAGTTTCGGATTGTAAAGAGAGGGTTGTTTGCCCTTAAATGAAATCAGGACTAATACTCGCCCAGGTTGTTTGTCATGATTCCTTTACTTTTTCAATGTTTGTATATACTAGAAACTCACTCGTAATTTTAAGTTACTACATATTTTATTCCTCACACTTCATAGATTATCTTTTAATCTATTTGTTCATCGCTGGTTCAGTTTACTTTGTTTTCGTTAATATATCTGGGTCCTGTTCTTCGTTGCAAGTAATTGGTCAATGTTAGTTTTGTGTATTCCTCCAGACTTTAGGTTCCGACCGAGAGGAATGACGACGAGCTTGATCAAGTTCTTGTCACATTACAACATACCTAAAAATTTACTATTAGCCTGCAAATAACGTGACATTACTGTCATCGTGAAGAAATACTTTAAGTCATGCTTAAGTGTTGCTGCATCTTTATCATCCACATAATATTTTATGTATGCCTACTCTCTTGGAATGCCAAGAATTCGTTTCGAAAGGCCAAAATTTTGGAGTAATGAGTTTTTAATATTTTATAGTCATACAAGTGATACAATCTACACTCGCTCATGCTTAAGAACTGCCTTACGTCCCTGTCGAGCTGTTTAGCGTTAAATACAGAGCACCACTGTTTTTAAGTCTCTTTCAGAAAACTTTAGAAGCTGTACTCGTGTCTTGCTCTTCCTCGCTTAGCTTGATTAGATGACAGTCTAGTTCACTGTCGAACTCCTATTTAAGGTCGTCACAGAAGTACTGCAACTACCGCTAAAATGTTTACTTTCGAATTTACTTGTATAGCTTTATTTACTGTAACATATAATATTGTCTTCTAAATATAGCACTCGGAACAGCTGTGGTTGTGTCAGATTACGAAACCTAATGGAACCATCTATTTTCTCGTAGTTTATCTTATTCAGACCGTTTATCAAGACTAGCCTAAAGACTAGGTTTATCTTCACCATTAACCTTTGGAACTTAATTGATATTCCGGATTTGCAACAACAACACATATGGTAGCGTAATCATAAGAAAAGGTATTGTTCATCTTAACGTATGTGGATAATTGGTGGGATGCATAGTTTAAGTTTGCCATTCTCCGTCTATATGTCAGTTTGATTGACGAAAATAAGACATTTACTTTAAGAATGTTGGTTTTAAGCATTGGCCTAATCAATCACAAAAAGGAACGCCATAAAGGAGAGATGGGTGATGGCTAGCAGTGGGATCCAGAACTCCCATTTCGTTCTGTCTGGAAGATTTAAGCTACCAACACAGGTCTAATACTTAATATTTTAAGAAGTAAATAAAGAATCAGTCCTGGCCGTAAGATTTGAATATCAAATGGGTTTTACTAGTTTTTTGAGATCATATTTTAGAGCCGCTTCTTGCTTGAACTGTCAAACGTAAAAAAAGTTTTGTATCGTTATATATTTTCCAAGAACATGTTCGCAATTTATCCACCTTAGTTCTTCTTAACACTAGTCTGATTGTTTAGCGCTTCTGTCTGTGTGTTGTCCGATACACAGTAGCTTTGCAATTGTTTCTCTAACTAAATATAGTGTACCATTCTTTCGTCTAGTCACAGTAATTACGACATAAGTTCAAATAGGTTATATGAAGAAGCTCAGAAACCATGACGCCTGTTAGTCAGAGTACGTCTACCAATACTAGAATATGCAACTCTCGTTTGAAACTGACAGTTTTGGTCACTTTTAAGTGTTAAGTCAAAGAAAGTTTCATTGAATTTGATAGCATGTTTCTCGTTTAAACATAATATCTCAGCGATTACTTTCATCTCATGTTCTGCACTTACACTGAGTGATTTAATTGTCAGGACTTACACCATAAGTAACCTATTGTGTTCCTCAAAACTCCAAAACTAGTCATTTCTCTGTATCGAATTTCCAGTAAAGTGTTATATGTGTGCATATACGGAAGCCAGATGCATGATGTCAAATCATAGTTTGCATCACTTGGCGGTCCTAGTTAGACAGTTGTTTAAAAACAGGGAACCCTGGATAACTGTTGAATCTTAGTATACAAACCAATAGGTGGTGTGCCGGTAATTAAACAGGCTAGGCACTTGCTGTATGACCTGAGGGTCCTTGGTTCGACCCTCACTGTGGTCACGGATCTTCACGGCTGAAGCGTCACGTGCTAAGGCTAAATATCTGTCCAGTACTCCATGGTTTTCATCGGTTACTTGAAGTCAGCCCGTGTTGTAAACTGTTGAATTCAGAATTTTCCAAAAAACGCTGTATTAATATATTACTTCTTGAGGGTCTGGGTGTATCTAGACATGATGTGAATGCCAGATAGTCACGTGTTGTCTAAAGATGAGATGTTATATGAAAATCTCCTACTAATACTACGAGAGTGTGTGTTAGAAGGTATATATATATACTGATAATTTAAATCTATTACATCGTTTGCAAATTATACTTTATTATTTGTTTTAGTTTCCTTCCTTGAATAATTATTTTGGCATACCATAAGTAACATATTTTATAACCGATCCAGACCGCAAAGCACAACATTTCCCATTACTTATTTCGTTCAGTTCCATGTTATATAGTAATACTAAATTTTAGGTTTTGGAACTTATTTCCAGATTGTTGCCTTACTAAGCGGCAATTAGCTACCCTTGATAGTTCACATTTAATTGACTTCTGCCTAAATATGTATATTTTCACATCCATGCTTCTCCGTCGATTTAGCAACGTAAAATTCACACTTATCGTAGCATGTCATGTTTCCTCATGTAGTTCATCTCTATTACCTAATGAAGTATTTTATTCGTTCTTTGATTTTGTTATCTTAAATTTTAGATTCTTACCTGATCTCAGCAGATTTTTCATCTCAATTCTCCTCTCTTTGGTTGCATTCTGGCTAGTAGTTCAATACAATGTTGCATCTCATTTTGTTAATTATATGCTTTATAGAAAAATCAGGTAAGAAGCAAGCATTATGAATGGTTATAATATTGAGTTAATGTTATAAAAGTAGGTAGAGTGGTCCAGTTTTTTTTTAAGCGTGTTACTCATGTCTTATAGGTATTAAATATTAACATTGAGTCTGATCTTGCTCACCCAGCTTTGTTTTAGGTTTCACCCTTGTTTATTTTCATTCTGAAGACTCATTTGATATTAAAAAAATAAGACACCAAGGTGTTTAATCACCTAAATTCTCAACAGTATGTAAATGTTTTAATCGGTGGGTTTGATAAGATCTTCAACTTCCACCAGGAAATCGGGATATACTATCAGACATTAACTTGGTGTATATTTTTTTAAACACCAGTACTCCATCTTCATGTGTTCATACTATTATATTCTAAATTACACATGTTCCAGCTACCCAAAGTGTTGTTGTGAAGTGACTAAAACTTGAATAATTCACTCATTCCATAGTGATTCCCACTAAACTCAGACGTACCAAAATGTTTCTTTGTTTTTGATGTTTCTGTTGATATTAGTAGTTCCAAGAAAAAAAAACAATGCTAACCTCAGGACATATTCATTTTAGAATAGTTAATTTTTGAAGGCATGTTGTGGAGTAACAATCATGAATATGTTGCACGTCATGTTTTTTTATAAGATGAACGTTTTCATAATGCCTGTAATCCGAATTTCACGCTTCACCCTGAATTCTCGCTATTCGAAGGTTTTTCTCCGTAGAAATCATACGTAAATTATGTGTGGCATATGTTTATTGTAAATGCGTAGATAATCGAAAGCTCTAAATGTTCATGCACACACTCAAATTCTACTCAAACTTGGGATATTTCATTTCAATTTACTGCAGATTCTGCGAAATTCAGTTTATCCGTAATCCCAGCAAACCAACCAGTACTTATTGGTCAAAAAGTAATTTTGAGGTGTCAGGTACAAGGAATACGACTTTCAACAAAATATGCAGTGTTATTTCGGCATAAAGAAAACTTAATCTCAGAGAAGTGTTTCGTGTACGAAGCACAAAAGTATCACCTAATATGTGAGCCAGATGATTGGCAAAGAGCCGAAACTTATGAATTACATATCAAATCGGTTTCTTGGGCAGATCGTGGTAATTGGTCGTGTATTTATGCAGCAAATAAAACCATACAAACTCTTGAAGTATATGGTAAGTTATAAGGATTTTCTCTCATTTCTTATAGTTAAAACGCAGTATTTGAACGAAATGTCTGTCTACCAAGTTTCTGTGATAAGGACAGTTTGAATGCACTATCCATTGACTCTGAAATCCAATTTTATGTGTATTGTAGTTTTCATCTCATAGCTATGTGATGACAACGAACAAGTGTTCTAGCCAACATTGCTCAGTTGAGCCAACACGTTTTCCAAGCCTAACTGATATATCAAAGTACCAGATATAGTCGGGTTATCTACTGACCAAAAGTTGAGAGTACCTAAAGCTGTAAGCTACAGCGACTTGGTTTTTAGAACATTTTTACATACAATCGTTTTAAATTTATGTATAAATTTGTGATAATTTCATTTCTGTTATCAGTATTGCACGTATTTTGTTGAATAGCTAATTTGGAAACCTGATACTAGAACCAACAATAACTCAGACTTCCTGATTAGTGTAAAATATACCTCAGGTTTATATCAGTGGCGGTAACTCAAGATCATGTATCTGTATATCTCCCTAGCTATCTCAAACAAACAATAGTCCACTAATAACTCTCCCTTACTTGTTGAAAGTTGTTGGGGTCGTAAAACTACGGCTTAAGAGTGACGATGATGAAATTCTATTTAGCTGGACAAAACCAGTGGTGTGGATATTCAAATGCCATGAAACAAAAATGCCAATCTTAACTTTTATGGATGCTTGTTCTGACTATCGCTTTAAAATTAATGAAAATTAAGTTAAAGTCAACAAAGCCCTTCACAGATCTACTTAAAACCATGTTATTCTTTATGAACAGAGGTGGATGGTAAATAGCATTGTAATCCAAGATGCGCGTTTCATCCTGTTCTTATTTGTTCACTGGCTAAAAGTTACAAAAAGATTATATATTCTTGTCGCACAGATGGCGAATTTGAGGTTCATTTAGCTAAGAATTCATTTGATTTTTTATGCTTGTTACAGAAGTTAAGAGATATGGTGGGTTTATTGGTATAGACTGTTTACGGAGATAGTTTAATGTTATAATTTACATTACAAACACATCGCAGTTAGATAACCATTAAAAACCAGGAAATATTAGATAGCAACCATCATCTAATGTTATTGGTGCATAGCAGCCTCACTCCTAACAGTGTAAGGTCATAGATGCACACTGCTTTTGAGTCTTATAGCAAGGCGAAACGACTTTCCTGTGCTTTCTACTTTCCAATACTTGTCCGACTAAGGTCAATCCGTAATGTAAACTACAAATTTCTTGTCCACTATCCCCAATCATCATCTCATCTCAACACAGTGCACGTGATGTCCAGTCACGTAGACTAGTGGCCACATTGCAACTTAACCGATATAATTCGATCTGCACTAAGGAGGAGTTGACACACCTGACATTGATCACTACCCACTGATCAATCAATTGTATTTATCAATATATTGATATTTATATTTTTGTTCTTATACGTTACAACTGCGAATTCAGATGGAATTTTTAACTATGAAAGTTTTCGCAGTGTAAATACCTTGGGACTTTGTTAGTTAATATTTTTAAAAATTTTCTTAGCGCCAGCTAAATTGGAAAAGATGGGTGTTTCAAGTTTAACATCATTTCCTGTGACAAACAAAGAAAGTATGATCAAAGACTCCAGTTCACCTTCAGAATTATCTTCTTCATCGTCTTTGGCTACGGCTGGATTGGATTCAGCTTTATCTATCATTGGCACACCACCTAGTCAACATATCGGCTTAGGCACTCGGACTAATCCGTATGATTTACGTTCAGGACTAGGAATTCAGCTTACTTGTGAAACAACTTGTGGACATCCTCGAGCCAATATAACTTGGCTAGTCATGAATGAGGTAATTCTTATTATTTATATGAATGTTTGATCTGTATGCTTGAAAACAATAAGTGATAAAACACCATAAGTATTTCAAGTGGTAGTGATTATTCAGTCAATGGCAAAATAAACGAGCAATGATTTATTGATGAGAAACGATTAGTACAATTGTGCCACTGTGATCGATTCTAGGCCATGTCACCTAACATCTCCAGTTATTGACTACAATTATTTGAATCGTCGCCCCTTGTAGGTCCATGTGAGGAATTCGGTTTAGTTTCTTATTTCAGTGTGGTTCAACCTGTTGTCTATGTAATCCTAAACAAGGACTATATTGTTGATTGCTTTTAATTTAACGGCTCTGATTAAGTGTTAACATATATTTCAGTAGCATTTTTCCAAGATAAAATCAGTCTCTCCAGATATCTCAAAATACCACCAAAAACTTAAGTCATTTTTCGTATATTTTAAATGTTTTATGTAAGATCGTAAATGGAATAAAGGTAAATTCTTAAAACCCAAATTAATTTACAAGTAGCCATTGGTTTTAAAGCTTACTTTGTTGAGATATAATTTTTAAAATGGGCCTACAAACCACGTAATTAGTGGATCTATTGCTACGTTTTCATGTTTGATAACCTATCTGTCACTAAAAGCACTTTGAGAAGGTATCTAATGAACGTGGCTATCCCGTATACAACCTATAAGCCAAATCAATCTCCAAAAACCTTTCATCTAAAATGATTACCAAGTGACAGCTCAAGCACATGTACGTATAGATAATAAATAACGACGTATAGTTCTCTTTTGTGTCTTGATAGTTGCTGAATAATTCTTGAAAAATCTTATATATGGCCACTTCTTGTTCACTTCCTACTATCTGAATTATCATGTCAAAATTCATTAACACAATTGAATTGGTAAGATCATTGAAGTTATAAACTGTGTTGTAAATTCACACCGTTCCCAATAGCTTAGCAGTAAGGGTGTTCGACTTTCAACCATTAGGTTGCAGGTTCAAGTCATTCTTCACCTACTTCAATTTGGGAAGCTCCGTAGTGTCACTACTCTCCAAACATTAAATATGGCTTAAATCCAAGTAGACAAATCTATACTTGATAAATGAGTTACATCATAAATCTATGTTTATACAATATATACTACACTCTAAAATATCACTCAATCGTTATTGATTTGTTTGTCTATTTCATTTTATTATGAAACATGTTCCTATTATCAAATATTTCTTTTTGTATATCATCTAATATAGAATGATTTTGTTTGTATTTTCAGACAATGACTAAAGCAATTATGCCCACGAATCCAAATAAAATTCATGAAAATGTTTGTAGTAATTCACCAAATACAATTGATATGACAACTACTAAGTCGACTTTACATGTTCATTGCTCACAATTAGATATTATTGGTTTAAATCAAGTTCAATGTTCAGTGAATGGACCACAATATAAAGATACTTTATTGACACGAAATGTTTACATATTATGTGCTGGTAGGTATCTTTTTATAGAGCTTTTTCTTACCTATATATATGTTAAATAAACTAAGCGAAGAAATTCCCACTATTCATTCATTTTCAGATATGTACATATGTCTTTTTATTTGAAAAGTAGATTCCTTACAACTGCATATGTTATATAATCAACTTCTGTGAAACTTAGGTTCCATAGGACACTTTCATTACAAGCTGATACAAACAGGGGAACCAGAGCCAAACAGGCACACAGAGTATTGAATCACTCAATGGTATATAAGTTTTGGGGAAATATGAAAAATTTTCTTAACGAATAATCATATAATGTTTACCTATGATAATAAACCTTTAAATTAATGCCTAATTTTTCTGTCTGTCCTTTGAAAACACAAATTTGTGGTGGCGATTTTAGTGTATACATTTTACAGCTAAGCTCATCTTACATTCATATCAAACGTTTTTCTAGATAATTCTATATTTGACCCTCATTGAACAGGTGCTTCTAGTTCATTTATTATACATAAACAAGTACTACTGAGGGCAACAAATAAAAGTATGCGTAACACAAACAAAAGATGATATCGGAGAAGGAATAAAGCAGGTAAAGTGGAGTACAATAAAAAGGAAAATGAGCAAGAATAGCATGTACTTGGAGAGATACAGATCAGTGAGAAATACAACAACACAAAAAGAACTCTCACTTAAGGTGTATTAGTCTAAATGGCATACTTGATTTGACAAAATCTGTATCAGGTTATATGTTGGGCAACAGCATTCAGCGACCTGAAACCGAGTAAGCACAACAAAAGTTCCAACAAATACGACCTTTTGAGCTATTTTTGAGAATAAAAGTATGCCGAAGTTGAAAATAAAACGCCATAAAATATTTAAGCAGAGTAAAATCATTTCATTTGTAATAGAGTTATCCTCAGTGTAGTTTGAGTTGGTAACAAAGAGGAGCAAACGGCTTACTTTCATGATTATCGATTCACATATTTGTGTGCGGGTTTGGATACTCCCTGGAGTTTTTAACCCAGTAGTTTGATTCATTAGGCAGCGGAACAACGTCAGATGATCTTATCCTATGTTACCCAGTGACTAAGATAGGTCCATATGCCATTCGTTTCTTTAAGATCCCAGTGCCTGTATAGAACACATTGGTTTGGAATCAGAGTTTTCTAACCATCGTAGGTGGTCCAACCCAACTCCAAAACCTAACGTTTACCTATTGCCCTGTCACTCATAAAAATATTTCTCCACCAGAGGCTATAGTCACCTGAACATATCGAGAGGTTGAAGGTATCTTCTCCGTAATTGACCGTATTAGGGCATTTTGAAGTCTTGATGTTCAATACTAGCATATTCATTTACCATAAATTATCAAACTATTAAAGAATTATAAAAATGGCATACTGTCTATTTATTCACTTATGAATAGAGTCAATTTAAGAACATCGTATATTCTTCAAGTTTATTGTTTATTCCTAAATCATGTGAATCATATATTTATGTATGGTTTAAAACTTTAAGTGAGAATATAATCTTTTGTAAACTAGGATTTTGGACAAAATTAGAAATATTATTTTGATGAATTTATTCGCTATTCTCATTTCTTGATTCTCATCCATTAGTAAGTTTTTTTTTATAAAAAATTCCTAATGTTGGATAATAGGTCACAATAATTAAATTAATATTAGTTGTACCGTTACTACAACTACTACTAATATATTATTATTATTATTATTATTATTATTATTAGTAGTAGTAGTAGTAGTAGTAGTAGTAGTAGTAGTAGTATACATTTGCAATTTAATGAACATTGGAACAATAATTTCTTTATATGCATTTTGTTTTAAATTGAATAAATGTTGTCCAGTAATATGATGTCTTTTTCCAATCTTTTCATTTGTGAATTGTTATACATAAATGTATAATACTCTATTCACTAGGGTGATGTTTGTTTGAAATGTCACTATATGTATATATATAACTTTCAATAGACTAATCAATTTAACTTGGCGCCAATATTCACATTATTTCTATGTTCTAATGACATAGATAATAATAATGACACTGAGAAATCAAGTTTTCCGCTTTTGTTACTGAAATTAATTCAGTTTAATTATTCAAAATTTCTACAATTTTTCTATTTTCTATTTGTTAAAAATGAATATCAATAATAACCAATGTTAATATTAGATTCATTCATATAGATTTGATTAGTGTTAATTTGATTATTCCCCTTTGAAAAACAACATTAACATTAGTAGAATTAGTTATTAATTAATTAAATTGAAATCAATAATATTAAAATAATAATATCCCATTCATAATTTATTGATTGAACAATATTAACATGGAAAGAAATGACAACAATCGAGAGGGACATGGAAGAAAGAAAATAATGTTAATTATTCGTGTAATTCCCGTAGTATAAATCTCTCCTGTTGTAGAAATATCAATGTAATATGCATATATATCAAGGTAATTTATTAGTCAATGAAATAGATTACACATTATAAGTAAAAAGTACAAATTGATGTAAAAAAGGTCCAGTCAATAGTTAAACATAGGAAGTAGGTCAAAGTTGAATAAAGACTTTAAAATAATCATCACAAAACATTAATAATGTTACGTCACAAAAAGTGTGTAACTAGTCAACTAATAATAATAATAATATATACATATAAAATTCTTATCATTACACCTGTCTTCTTACTCTCAATGTGTACTTTCTACTGATTATGTATAGTTGCTTAATCCATTTCATTGTAAATACTGACTTAGAAATTGTTTTGATTGATTTGATATTTTCTAATACCCATATAAATATTCATGTTTATGAGAATAAAACTTGATAATGATCTAATTGGAGAGCGTCTTTTTCGTTCACGTGTCACTCTTTTATATGTATTACCCTCATACAGACATAATACATCATAATTATCTGGTAGGAAGTATGAGCTTAAAATAGCCTGAACGGATTTCATATAGTTCCGGGCCAATCATAAAACGGCTTTTATAAATGTAAAGAAAATAATAATTACAATGTGTAAATAGATTTTACATATTTTATACATCTATTAAAGTCTCCTGCTAGTAACTGTAAATAAAGAAACGGTGATATATATATAATACTTCCATGCACAAGTATAAATGTGTATACGTATATAATTAGATGGATATCACCCATTTTGTTGAATCTTTATCAAGACTCATATAGATTTTTGAGATTCTCTGTATTGTTTTTGGTTAGAGTTTTCATTACAAACTGTTAACAGTTACTATGTTAAAATGCTTTATGGTCATATGGGTGAATGAATTTCACGAAAAAAATCTAAGAGGCGGTATCTTTATCTATTTTATCCATAAAATGTAATACTACACTGAGTTAGGTTTTTTTAAGAACTCAGAGTAAGGATTTTATGGGTTATGCCGATTTATCTGTTATACATAATCTACAGAAAGTATTAAGGATTTTATACGTTTAATGCTGTCATTTATACTTTAAGATGACAAGGATTAATGTTGTGAACACTCTATACAAAACGTTTCCTTCTGTTAATCTCAAGTAATGCTGGCATTTTTCCCAAACACTTTAGGCTCGTCTGTTTTCACATGATAATTAGTAGCTCCAAACTCTGTCATACTTAATTCAGTTTCGACAATTGGATCACATCACTTTCTTACATCTAAAGTATGGCTCAAAGCTGCATATGCACAAATTTGTACTTCGTAAATAAGCTACTGTAAACGTAAACAAAGTTATAAATAGCAAACTGAATGTATATTAGTCATACTGATTTCTCAGTATGTAACACCGGTCGGAAGTGAGAAACCTGGCAGCAGAAGGTCAAGAGGATCTAGTTGGAGAAAACAGAAAGGGAAATAGAGAGGAATCGTGAATTGGAAGAATCATACAGAATATGATGAAAAATTATTGAGAGATTTGCAGATGAAGTAGTTAATGTATGATTTTCATATTTTACGAAGATTTTCTGTAATTTTTTATCAAACAGTAAACGCGTTGTTCCTACCTGAGTGTTCGTACATTATAATCATAAAAGGATTTTTTTTCTTTTACGTATAGACTATGTAATAAGGCTCAGAAACGGTTAGTGTAGCGTAAAGTTGTTCACTCTTTATCTTCCTCTAGACCTTGAGTTTTAGTAATCCTCTAAGCATAACTTTCTACTTCAGTGTTCAATCTTTCTCCCTTATCATTGTTATTGTAATCATTTGGACTCCTTTTGTTATATTGGTCTTGTTGATTTTTTCTCGTATTATTAATATGACATAATAACTTGGATCAACACATTATTTATTTTCAGGCTCTATGGTGATTATGTCTGATAAAATCCATTAATCAAATAGGACTGTAGACTTGAAAATGGTGTTTCAGCACTTCTTACAGATGTTATATTGTTTTATATTATTCGTGTACCTTATCTTTCAATCGAAATTTAATTATACTGCATCTGGATCAGTTAGTTAAAAAAAACCTAAAACCTGACACAAATGTTTATTTAGGTTAACTTGCTACATTTTATATGATCTAGAAATAGGAAATTAACAGGTAGTATGAGTAGTAGTAGTATGAGTAATCAGTAGTATAAGTAATGTAAAATGAAGGAAATTTAGTTCAGAACAGACAGATAAAATTTGACAGAGAAAAACTCGAATTATTTTGGAAGCGAGAGATTCACGGCAAAATTGAAAGTGAATACAATTACAGCACTGTTTTGTGAATTTTAAGCATTACCATCTATAGCTTCCAAATATAAAATATAATAATCTCAGGAAGCATATAATCACAGTATCAGTTTGACTAACAATCCAATAGCTCCATCGGCTGATATGACTGTCTCTCACCATTTCCCATCTTAATTTACTAATCTCCTCAACCACTGAATGAATTCAATGACTGATATTACCACTATTAGTTATTAATGCGATGCCCCTTATTACTATCCATATATCCGAATTATGTCAAACCTTAATACCACTACATTGTAGTAAATTACTATTCATTCACAACTGGCGAATATAATTTTGATGCAAAATATAAACTTTCTTATCACACAATATTCATTCTGACATTTCCAATAATAAATTGTCTCAATAATTCTTCATTAGTGATCACTGTCTTAAACCATCTGCAATGCACTACTAAATATTCTAAATGTAATAATTTACTATTTTAACTAGTTACTTTGATTTTTCCATATTGTCCCTTTCCTCTCTTCTATGGATCTCTAAGATTGAGTGTTCCAGTTCATAATCCACCGGCGTATATACATAACATGCATCCTATTTCGTTGTATTTCTCTATCAAAATCTATTTAGATAAAAATGAATTAGAAAATCTAAAACAACCGCAAAAACATCAAATAACTACAAATGAAATCAAGCAAGAACGTGTACGGCGACGTACGTTTGTTGTAAATTGCTCTCCAGCTTATTCTAAACTAACTGATATATGACTTCATTTGAAAAAGACTCATCTTCTCTTTATGTTTGCATGTTTCACAAATGTTAAGTGGGATGCTTTGTTTGTGTTGATGATGTGATAATTAGTTTGGTGAGATTCTACTTTTCATAATATGTTTGTTAGTTATAAATTGTTTATTTTGTGTTTGCTTTCTTGCATTCTTACTGTTTCACGTATCATACAGCATGTTTGCATGACACTTTTTTTCACCGTTATTCGGTTACGTTCGTAAATAGTGAATATGCAAAACATTAACTAGACAGATTAAAGAATCTTTGTGACTTAGTGGCAATATCGAGGCAATCATCATAGGATCCACATATACCAAACGAAACTGATCAATCGCAGTCCCAAATATCAATGGGAAGATTTAAACAACCAATAAAAGTGAATTAGTCTTGATTCTTTTATGACCAAGATAGAGCTTATACAATTTATTGCCTGTTTAAATACGCTATTTTGCTTCTCGGTTTTACCCCAATTTGTAGAAAAATCGCAAACCTTTAACCTTATCCTAACTTTATTTTTCTCCAATTTCATTCTAGGTGGTGAAAGACCGATGCGCTTAACAAGTGGTGAAGTTGTCGGCATAGCTGTTGGTTCAGCATTAGGTTTAATTTTAGTATTTATTGGTTGTATTATTTTGCGTAATAATGGGAAATCATCTCCTTTACCATTTCATGGTCATATACCCGGTCAACGTGTATAGGAAAACAAGAATTCTTTTTTCTCCCTCTGATTTCATTGTTCACAATAATATCTGTTCTCATTGTTTATATTGTACAATTTTGTCATTTTTTCTCTACATACTACTGATAATGATAATCATAGTAGTAATAGTAGTATTCTGTATTGGTTGCATTTACAACAATGCATTCCCATAATTCAATTGTTTTCTTCTTCTTTTTTTATTTATTTATTTTCCAAGTTCATATTAGCATAAATTTCAGTTTTGATCATTTTCATATTATAAGTGGGTCTATATTTGTTTGCTTTTTAAGCATATATTGCTTTAATAATTATTTGTATTGCATTTTTGTCTTTTTTTAACACACATCATTTTATTCTAAAGTCAATTAATTTCTAGTTACTTATCTTCTCATTTATTATTTCTAGTTTTATGCATTTTTATCTGCGATAAAATGTTTTTATATATTACGACTACTACTAATAATAATAATAATAGTAATATTATTATTATTGTGTACTCGTTATGCTGATTCTAAAGTCAATGAAATTTGTATTGTTATGATTTTTCCGCTTGATATCAGTTTTTCTACACAGCAATTAACTAAAGGGAGGTAAACATAAAACTTTGCGAAATATTTACTGTAAACGGAATCTCTGGTAGAGATAATAATAATAATAAATGATTAAATGTACGTTTTGTGACATCATCTAGGAATCAATACCGATTATTCAGCATATTAGGATCTCAACTTTTTTTTCTACTGGTATTACATTTGAACATGTCAATATTGATACTTGAACAAATTGAATTGTCCTTTTCTGGGTTACTGTTTTACTTTGTATTTTTCTTTCAAATGATGTAAATAGGTAAAAAAAATTTCGTTTTTTTTACTCTTTATTGCGTATGTATGTATGCTTTTGATACTTTTGAAATTTATATTCATTCGTGTTCTATTATCCTATAAAATTCTGTTTCATAAGCTGTTTTATTCGAATTAAAACTTATTATTTCCATTCCTCAATGTTCTATGAAACTTTTATTGGAAGGAAAATTGTCGGTGGAACAGAAATTTTGCTGAATTAGTAATCAGTTTTTGTATTCATATTGATAATCTGTTGTTGTGTTCCGCTATCCGATCTAGTTATAATATAAAGTACCTATGGTAGATCAAACTCACCAGACAAATGAAGAAACTGAAGTAAGTTAGAAACTATGATTAATAAATCGAATTATAATGGACTCAAAGTATAAGTATATTTACATTTGTTCTTCTGATTTAGACAGGACACGTAGGCTCGGTCATTGACCAAGGTATGATATACTTCTTTCCATACCATGTCTTTTACGAAATTCTCATCTCCATCTGACATTGGGACGATATGTGGCTGTCTGGTTTTCAAGATATCGCGTTGTATACCTGAACACGATAAGCCTATCATCCATATATGGATTATTGTTCGTATGTAACTCGTTGACCTGTATTCACACTAATTTTGCTACTTTCACTGGATATGTCTACTGAAGTCCATAATTCGATTTACAAGTGTTGAAATAGACTTTTATGTATCTTAAATCACTTGTTGACCAACGTTTTTTAAAATCTAAGCGTATGTAAGTTAAGAACTTGAGAAGAATAGGAATGTTTGAGATCAGTCATCACTGTATTGACCAACGTTTTGTTTTACTTCAGCTTCTTAGACAAATTTGTCTATCAACTCTGGTTTTAGTACTTAACCTGAAGGTGGTGTGTGTCTTTACCGGTAGTCCTATGATGATTTCTTGCTTAAAGTTGTTCCACAAAATCTTATCCTCTCCATAACTGAAAGGTATTACTTGATCTCAGCTGGCTGTGTTAGAGCAATCTTCTGAATCGAATATGCAAAATTGATATTTATCAAGTCTGCTTGATGTTTTTTGTTTTTTTAAAAATTTGATTGTGGTATTATATATATAACTTACTTCGTTTGTCTGACCTGTCTGTAGCAGATCGCCTACTCCTAAAGATCATTTAGGTCAACATGAAGTAAGATAGCATGGTTTTGTTATGCGTACAGATCCTGATAAAATTTCGAAAATTTTCAGAACATCTTAAGGAATAAGTAAGAATAATTTACAATTATTTATATTTATGTAAAGTAATTTTAATCGTTACTCTAAGTATCCTGACTCTTCTCTCAAAATAAGTCCATTTTTAACAAAGAATCAATATTGAGGTATGATTTTTGAAGCATTTACTCTAATTAATGGACATTCAAAAAAATATAACTGTTAATATACAAGATATTTGACAATTTAGAACAAAGAAATCCGGTTAATTTGGTCTGATTTGCGTTATTTTTAATCTATTGGTGTTTACCTGAAATATGTACATTAACTGAGTCATACATTTATGTATGATTTAGAATGGTTATAAGTTGAATAGATTGGATTAAATTCAGCCAGCTGTCAGTTTTGTGAATTTTTCCGCTGAATAGGGTGTTTCAGTGAGTTGATTGTGAACATATACATGCTTTTAGCCGATTACAGCAATAGAGTTATTTAGATTTTCGCTGAAAATAACAGGATTCAAAGATTAAGCTGAATAAGAAATAGTTGTTTACAGCCAACAGTTTGTACAAAGACCTTTTAAACTTTGAATACATCGCATGACATCCAGTAATTAAATCTATGAGGAATGTGATTTCAGTTGCTTAACAGAAAGTAGAAAGTATTCCTTTAAACCTAGAAATCTAGTTATAACCCCAATGACTTGGTCGGTGAGACTATAATATACGGATGACCTTTGAGCGACACTAAGTGATCTTGCGACAACTCACCTACTTAATAGGTTTGAATATAGGGTTTTAAATTAGTACGGGTAGTTTGTGATAAGAATTTGAAGCTAGAAGTTGGGGTTAGGAATTGGAGTAAAGGTTTACATCAGGAACTGAGATCAACTAAGATGCTATATAGCCATATGGGTAAACGAACTTTGCACCAAAATCCGAGACGTGTTGTCTTTAATTGGTTTGTCCATAAATTACTACGAGAGGAAAAGGGGCCTGGTCACCTTCCTCCCTGGAGGAGCCCTAATTTTGCTCTTGTATTAATACTAATGACAGCCATAGGTATTAAGTCGAACTCGATTTCGTTTGTTGAGTAGTTATTACTTTGTATTGGTTGATCGAGACTATCGTATGTAGAGTGATACGATTGAAAATATCGTCCAACTCGTTCTTGTGAACATTTTAAATATAGCAGTGTTTGGTGTTGTTAGTCGTTCTTGTAAGGGACTGCAAACTTTTAATGTTATATCCAGTTACTCAAAACTTGCCTAAATTATAAATATGTTCCTTATACACTTATTCTTGACCATGTATATGCTAGTGATGACTGAGTAATCTTTATTATTCCTACCCGCAAAACTCTCCCTTCACTTACATCAGACGTCCGACTAATTTAACAGCTTGATATTTTGATTTAGATAGGAAAGTATCCAATTGGTGTTTGCGGCGCAAACTGATTGACTTGACCTAAAAAAATGTTATGGTGGCAAAAATAACAAAATTACATCCTTTGTAAAGGTTTGAATCTTCCCGTTACTGATATTATGATCTGCAGTTAATCGACCTCATCAAACATGTATATCATAAGCGAATTGTCTCAATATTACTTTTGTACAAACTAGTGACCATCCAAACGAGATGACTAAGTGGATAAAGTGTTAGGAGTTTGGATCTAAAAGCACTAGGTACAAGTTCTGGTATACAGGTACGTACAGATGGTGAGTCCCGAAGAAGACGAAATGGGCGTCATGGATTAAACTACAAACCATGAATCCACCTTATTATAAAAATCATCAGTAGAATTGTTACAAGGTATCATTGCAGTTATATAATATCAGTTTCACATGATTTCTGCAAAGTATATGTCGTAATCAGTTAATTCAGGTCTGTCAGTTGTACTAACCATTTAGCAGTACGAACTACTTGACGTATATTAATTATCTTAATATCTTCATTGATAAATAATTAAGTTATTCGACGTTAATATTACTATCATTATCTTAGGGGCGATAGATAATTTCATAAACAATCATTACACCTGAGACGTCGTTTAAACAATAATTACTCTTAATTGAACAATTTGTATTAAAATTAAGAATTTACGATTTTGAAGTATGCAGTTATCCCGTTGTATAAAAATAATTAGTATTATGGCTTATCCATAAACAGATGACATTTGACTATTCGATGAAAAAAGCTCATAAATACTATGATACTTTTGATCATTAGACACGTTAAACATTTATCGTCATCGGTGGATCATATGTAGATGAATATGCAATAATTACGTAGAATTCTGTCATTGGGCGCTGAAAAGTTATCATACATCCTTGTCCATTTCAGGTAAGGTCTGTCGCATCAAACATATTCATTAGTATGTCATATTTGTAGGATATCATAACATTAATTCCACTTCGGATTATTATAGGGGTACAAATATAGGCAGTACCTTGTTTGAAGTGCTATTGAAAACCACAAAGCAGCAGACAGCTGTATCATCCTAGTATGGGATTCCTCAGCAATGCACACTCGTGACACTACCATAAAATGAACTCAGAGGCTTCAGACTTTGTACTGAACCTTTAACCGTTGAAAACGTTAGGTAAGAATCCTGTGTTATCCCAGCTAGGATCTGTATGTGGGTAATCAAACCTATGAATACAGATATGTGTTTAACGATCACTGAGTGTTACTCAACTTCAAGGCCTGACTTCCTAATTCACAGTTTTCCCATAGAATTTCATGTCTATCCTCATAGTGAAGGGATTCTCTATGGAGAAAAGAACTGTTATCTAACTATGTATGAAAAGAGAGTAAATCGAACAAAGCATGATGAAAAATTCGTTGATAGATATCAATCAGGAAAATCGTGATTTCATGTACATTTGGCTCATCGATTTAATAAAATTAATACAAAGTACATTTTAATAATATGTGAGACAACCGTGGAGAACTAATATCAAGAAATAGAAATTCTCAAAAGTCAAGTTAATAGAAAAGAAAGACTGATGGAAAGTGATTTTATTCACATAGCCACATATTACCTACCATACATCTTCATTTTCACAGAGAACTTTCAGGTGTTTAGTGATAAATCAATAAATTTGATAATTCCAAATGAGAAAAGGCAAAAATAAATTTCATACAAATCGACAACAAACTGAATGCTACACGATATACTGAATGAATGTGACATTGCTGAATTTACTAAAGCAACAAATCTGAGGTTGAATAAAGTCGGAAGACTATCATGGTTTCTATGAAATATTTACTCATGAATAATGAATTGTTCTGACAAATAACTATTATCAGTATAGGGTTGTGGGTGTTGTTGGATTTCATTAAAATTCCAAACTGGTCGAAATTAGACAATCATTTAAAACTTGCAAGTACTGGATGGCCATTTTTTTCTACTATGATACTACTCAGCAGCGTGATCGATAAGTCTGGTTTTAGTGTTGTGGATGTGCATAATTGTGATTTGTTAACTACCGAATTTATTAAAAAATCCAATCCTGTTTTTCAGAAGCTCTTAACATCTTCAGATTACGTTTAGTTTCACAAATATCCTGATACTGATTTGTATAGAATAACCTTCAAAGTGAAGTTTCATGTACATTTTCCGCATTCCGTATACTGTTTTGGGACTAATAAATTGGAATGTCAGTGTCTGGACATTTAGGTACATGGGTTATCAGTTGTGAAAATAGTATTTATAGAGATTAGAACGTATCCTAGGACTGACAATCGAGGCAACTTAAAACTCTTATGCTGGTTAAAATCTTGTAACGTTAAAACTGATGAGGGAAGTTAGTCTCATCACTCCAAATTCAATATTTCACCATATGGAAGCTGTTCAATTATTCTGACCAAACGACTGAGTGACGCATATTTTCTCAAATTATAACAAGAGATGTATCAACAGAAACGGTATTATAAATAATTGAAACATAGACAATACGCTGTACATACCTTAATTATTGAGGTATCTAATGCTTCAAGGAATGATAAAAGAGAAAGTGTGTAGTTGAATTGAATGATTTTGGCAAGAGCAAACTGAAATGATGACTACGTTATGCTAAATATGGGGGCTTTCATTAATAAACGACCTTTTTTGCACACAAATGGAATAAA